TATATATATATATATATATATATATAAATAATAGACTGAAGTAAAAACATTTCTTAAGAGATTTGTTGGTGGATTACTTTTTATAAAAGTCATTTTAATCTGGCCCTTAAGAGTAAAATCATTCATCGTCCGTCCTTCTGTAGCTCCAGAGAGGACCCCGGCCACCTGCTTTCTCTGCCCTTGTTCTAGTCCACGCTTTGCCCAGCATTTTGACCTGATACACCACTGCTTCTGTCTTAGCTCCAGAACACTTCCCCACCATAGCTTTGTTTTTAGCGTAATCCTACCCTTAAGTTTTCCATTAAGAACAAAGCACTGTGACTCATTTGGTAAAATCCTGGTCCACCATGCCAAGTTGAAATCGACAAGCAGTTGATCAAAGCTCCTTATTTAATATTGTGTTGAAACTACAGTACTGGAGCCTGTTCCCTGCTTTGCAAATTGCTGGTGAAATGTCAGCCGAGCGACACATGAATGTGGCAACTTGGTCGCTTGAATCATGTTAAATGTGAAAGCAGCATAACCATTATGTAGCCATGTCGTTTCTTCATACAAGCCGCTTTTTGACTGACAAATAACAAAATTCTATGTTCAGCCAAACAGGGATAGTATATGACACATATTAATATGCATAGTAAACATGATCATTCTTATATTACAGAACAAAGAAAAACTATACATGTGATTTAAATTAAAGTCAGAGGTCATATAGCACAAGAAGCACAGTGAAGACACCTGTACCACTGATTCCACCGATATTGAGTACATCACTTAAGCTTACACTCACCGGCCACTTTATTAGGTACACCTGTCCAACTGCTCGTTAACACTTAATTTCTAAGCAGCCAATCACATGGTGGCAACTCAATGCATTTAGGCATGTAGACATGGTCAAGACAATCTCCTGCAGTTCAAACCGAGCATCAGTATGGGGAAGAAAGGTGATTTGAGTGACTTTGAACGTGGCATGATCGTTGGTGCCAGAAGGGCTGGTCTGAGTATTTCAGAAAGTGCGGATCTACTGGGATTTTCATGCACAACCATCTCTAGGGTTTACAGAGAATGGTCCGAAAAAGAAGAAACATCCAGTGAGCGGCAGTTCTGTGGGCGGAAATGCCTTGTTGATGCCAGAGGTCAGAGGAGAATGGCCAGACTGGTTCGAGCTGATAGAAGGGCAACAGTGACTCAAATAACCACCCGTTACAACCAAGGTGGGCAGAAGAGCATCTCTGCCACTCCTTTCAGCTAAGA